TTTTTTTTTTTTTTTTAATTAGAGTTGGGGTTTTACCATGTTGGCCAGGCTGGTCTCAAACTCCTAACCTCAGGTGATCCACCCATCTCGGCCTCCCAAAGTGCTTGGATTATAGGCGTGAGTCACCATGCCTGGCCCAAGGAGGATTTAACAAGGGGATTTTATTACTTTGCAACAAGTAAGAACACCAGGGATAGTTTCCAAAGCACTATCTCCCCAAATGAAGGCAAAAGCAGGGCTTTTATTTTGCTAGTTGGCTGAGCCATTGCATGTGTAAAGGCAGGGTTTGTTCCTTGACACATACATGTATAGAAAATAGAGAATAAGTTCCTCTCTAAGTGAGATTTTTAGTATGGTAATGCAGAGAGTTTGCCAAGTTCATCTCTAACTTCAGGCATCTCTGGTTCCAGCTGGTTTTTGTCTTGCTGTAGCTGGTCTTCTTCCTGTACCCTTTTGAGACAACAAGGTGCAACAGGGGTTACACTTTTATAGTGTGCACCTGAAGACCCAGGGACTCTGGGTTACAGTATCTATCAACATTTACTATATTAGAAATTGCATAAATTTTAATATTAGTTTAAGATAAATAAAAAACCATTATATATTAACACAAATCACTTTTTTTTTGAGATGGGGTCTCACTGTGTTGCCTAAGCTAGACTGGAACTCCTGGGCTCAAGGGATCCTCATACTTCAGCCTCCTGAGTAGCTGGAACTTCAGCATACACAGCCACTCTGTCCAGCTACAAATAACTTGCTTTTATGAAAAAAAGAATTTTCCATAAAAATTAGTGGAAAGAGCATCATTGTTTTAGGTATTTTTGTGAAACCTTTTGACATCTAGCTTAATAGAAAACAAGTGACTTTTCATATCTGCTTTACATTCAGTCTGTTATGTCACATAGTTGGAGAAGGAAGAATCTCACCCCTTGTGAGATCTCTGGAAACCCCAGGATTCCCAAACCACACTTGGGGAGCTTAATTATGCTTGATTTCCAGTGAAAATTGTATCTCACTTGGATAAAAACTAACCAAATCTGAATTAAGCATGGGCTTTAGTTAATAATAATGCATTACTATTGTTTCATTAATTGTGACAAATGCACCCTACGAATCTATTACTAATAGGTAAAAATGGGGGTATGCTATATGGGAACTCTGTACTATTTTCATAATTTTTCTGTAAATCCAAATTGATTCTTTAAAAAGAAGTTTATTTTTAAAAATTTGTAACTTTAAAAATTATTCTCTCTACATCACAACTCCCTGGTGGGCTCCCACTTTATGGAAGGAGAAGAAATATCAACTAGAATAGACCTCTCATGATTTTGTGTTAAGCTAATAAATAGTCTTTTTAAAAAATTTTCTTGTAAAGCCATTCTTTTATCATTTCCAAAATTGCATGTTTGCAGAGAGGTAAATTTTAAGTGACTGACTATTGAATGAGTGATGAACCAAAATTGTCATCCTTTTTCAATCAGCCCTACTTGGCCCTTCCCCACATTCATGTAACATTTGTAGCTGGTAACAGATTGCCGTTCTTGGCTAAGCAGCCATAAACCATCTGGTAACTGTTGAAGCCATCCCAAGGCTGTGGCAATGGCAAAGCCACTGCCTAAGAAAAGAGAGAACATTATTCAAGTGGATTTTTTGCTTTTCGTTATTGTTGCTTTTTGTTTTGTATTTCTTTGAGCATCAAATGCTTTGCAAGAAATTATATTTTTACCACTTTATTTTCTTCAAGATTGCAGAACTAAATCTAGAAGCACTAGCTAATCACCAAGAAATACAAGCAGCAGGCCAAGAGCCTAGAAACACAACAGAAATACTTCAGCATCCAAACACAAGGTAATATTTTCAGTTTGAAACAAGAGCAAAGACAAATGGAGTATCTAGTTTCTTGTTTAACAACACCTGAGAATGTTTTTATCCTCTTTTGAGTCTATTGAAAACTATTTACCAAAAAATAAATAACATCTATCACAAAAACCACAGAAAAAATACCACCTTCTAGCCTTAATATACAGTATTTAATTTCTAATTTTCTGAATCTAGTGGCTGGTCTAAAATGATATCCTTGATCAAAAGAAAAAAAAAAAAAATGATTGGAATATGTTGAACCTAGGTAGCACTGGGAAAGATGATAGACTAGTTGGTATTTTGGTTAGAAGAGTCAATCTGTAGCCTTGTTGTATTGCCCAGACTATGAAAGACACACACACAGACTCAAAAGGGCTTTGTCTCCAGACTATGGCAAATGTATCAGATCTTTAGCATTTTGCCTACACTTTGATAGAGAGCTTTGGGTATATTTCTTGTTTATCCTTCCTCTCTATTGAAGCCACACTGTCTAAAACAATTTTCTATGATGATGGAAGTGCTCTACATCTGTGCTATCTGGTTTGGTAGCTGCTAGTCACATTTGACTAGTGCAGTTGAGGAACTGAATTTTTAATTTTATTTAATTTTAATAGCTATATATTGCTAGTGGCTACCATGTTGTATAACGCAGGTATAGAGAAATAACTGTCAGGTTCTGGAAAACTGTTGTTCTTACCTTAACTCTTCTACTTCTTTATAGTGTTTTAGAATGCTTGGATTCAGTGGGTCAGAAGCTTCTTTTTTTGACCCGGGAGATAGATGCTGGTGAACTTGCGTCTTCCAGAAACTGTCAAACTATAAAGTGTCTTTCAAATAAAGAGGTGAGTGTCCTGCTGAACCTTTGCAGGTTATATTCAAAGCAGAGGGGAATGTAGCCCTTTGCACCCCATGCAAGTGTCAAGCTTTTTTAAATCAGCAACCCTGGCTACAGTTAGTAAGTCTGGCTTCTGTCTCACATCTTGTATGGAGTACCTAAGTCCTCATAGGAGCAGAACTGTCAGCTGCCAATGCCTGCTTCCAGAGCCTAGCAGGCCTCTGGGTTTGGCCTTGCATATGTATTTGAGTTTCTGTTGTGTTTCTGGTTCATGGAAATGTTTATCTTGGTTTTGAGCCTGGCTATATCTTTTCAATTGTTTTCTTTTTATATTTTATCTATCATTGCTGTATGTTAAGTCAGAGAGGCTGCATCAAACATGAGCTTACTGTGTTATATTCAGAAGATCTGTGTGTTTTTTTTTTAACATTTTGTTTGGAAATAATTTCAACCGTACAGAAGCGTGCATGAATGGTAGAACACCTGTATACCTTCTATCTAGATTCACCTGTTTTAGCACTCTGCCCCAGTTGCTTTATTATTTTATGTGTACCCACATGCTTATGCTCTCTCATGTACACACTCTCTTCCTTCCTCTCTCTGTATGACATTTCCTGAACCAATTGAGAGTAAGCTGCATATATCATGGCCCTAAATACTTCAGAGTGTATTTCATGAGAATATTATTTTACATAACCACATCTTACATAGTTACCAATTTTAGTAAATCTAATATTGTCCTGGTACCTTTATCTACTTTTCATCTGTATTCTCATTTTCTTGGCTGACCAAATAATGTCTTTATAGCATGTCTTTTCCCTTTAAAACAGTATCATTTCTAGGGTCATGTATTACAATTACTTGTCGTATCTTTTTAGTCTCCTTTAAAGCTGGAACAGTTCCTCAACCTTTCTTTGTCTTTAGTAACCTTGATACATTTCGAGTAATGCATGCTCCCCTCCCTTTTTTAACAGAGTTTTGCTTATTTTAGGTTTGTGTGGTGGTTGCTCATGATTACATTCAGATTATGCATTCTTAGCCAAATTTCTTGGGGTCTTGCATCCAGAGGCAGTTATTATTCATCTGCCCCTCTTTTATGCTGTTTATTTTGATCACCTGGTCAAGGTGTTGTCTGCTTTCTCTATTGCAGAGTTCTTGTTTTTTCGCTTAATTCTAATAAATATGTGGGGAGATATTTTAAGAACATGCCAGTATTGCTTGAGCGCAGGAGGTCGAGGCTGCAGTGAACTATGATCGTACCACTACACTCCAGCCTGGGATTACAGGTGTGAGCCACTAGGCTCGGCCAAGTGTTCCTTTTTTATATGTCTTTTGCTTGACCTTGTTGAGCTTTTGGAATTTGTGGGTTTATCATTTTCATCAAATTAGAAAAAGTGTTGACCATTATTTCTTCTTTCACCACCCTCCCCTCCTTTGGGCACTCCCACTACATATGTATTAGGCCGTTTAAAGTTGTTCCATAGCTCACTGATGTGCTGTTCATGTTTTTTCCAGTCTTTTTTCCTCTCTGTTTTATTTTAGATTGTTTCCATTGCTATGTCTTTAGGTTTCTTATTGTGCTGCAGTATCTAATCTACTGATAATCCAATCCAGTGTACTTTCACCTCACACATTGTATTTTTTACCTCCAGAAGTTAACTTTTGTTCTATTTTATATCATCCATGTTTCTAGTTAACATTCAGACTTTCCTCTAGCTTCTAAATTCCAGAATATAGTTACAATAACTATTTTAACATCCTTCTCTATTAATTTGATAATCTGTGTCATTTTTAGATTAACTTAAATTGATTGGTTTTTTCTCCTTATTATGGACTGTATTTCATTCTTTGCAGTCTGGTAGTTTTTTGTATTGGATGCTGGACACAGTGAATTTTAATTTGTTGGGTGCTATATATTTTTGTATTTCTATAAATATTTGTGAGCTTTGGTCTGGGATGTGGAAAAGTTACTTGGAAACACTTTGGTCCTTTTGGATCTTCTTTCTTTCTTT